CTTCTTGGTGTAGGACTTGGCGTCGTCGGACTTGCGTTTCCAAGTCTTGTTCTTGTTGTACGCTGGCTTGCTATGGTTGTCAGACGAGGACTTGGCTTTGAGTTTCTTCAGAGTCATGCAATCAGCAGTATTGTGAGTGCTGGACTCGTGGTAATCACACCACTTTTCTTCGCTCTTGGAAGAATGGTCGTTGTTGCGAGTAGACTTGTACTTCTTGCTGTTGTTCTTCTTCGAAGGAGCTTGCTTGGCATCACTGCCTTTGTCAAAGTCTTCAGCGGATTCCATGCGCTCACAGAATCCAATGAGCGCTGTCATCTCGGCAGTGAAAGGATCGAAGTCGTGTTCTTCCATCTTGCGCATCCAGGAACGAGGAATGCCATGACAGATGATGTCGATGAATTCGTCCTGGTTCAACTGTTGATTGGCACCGAAAGGTGGCAAACGTGGAAGCTCATCGGTATTCATCCGAGTGAGGTTGTTGATGTAGGCGCGAGTTGTCATTTCGCTAGGCTTACGCATCTTGCGACGCATGAAGCGTTTCTGTTTTTCGAGAGCCTTGTAAGGGCAGGCTGCTTCGATAACCGCGTTGATTCCAAAGGTGATATCAGCATCGCTTAGAGCGGGTTCTGCTGCACCGTCCCATGCGGCTTGGATACGAGCTTGGAATTGGACTTCGGTTTCTCCAGAAGTCACATCGCGTGGAGGAATTGCGTTCACAGCAATTTGTCGTAGGGCGTGATGACGCACTGCACGATGGCCTGCACACCCAGCTTCGTAGGCACTCTTCGCAGAGCTGGAAGTCATCTCCTTGAGAAGGCGATGTTTGTCGTCGGCATTGGCAAGGTTGAGTCCAACGAAGACCTTCTCCATATTCGTAGCCCACTTGATGGTCTGACGTGGAGTGTTGGAACCATTGATGATGGCTACCTTGAAGGTGTATTTGGCACTGTTTGCATCTGCAGGAACGGTGCGAAGTTTGTAGGTGGTTGCACGAGAATCGTCGATCTCGGCGTCTTCGTCGTTGTCCACGAGAGGAAGAATGGGTTTGTCACGCAACTGTTTCTCGAAGTTGGTGAACGCATGTTTTCCTTGAGCAATCTGCATGGTGAAGGAATAGGTTGAGGGTAGCTGAAAGCTATTGTGTTTGTTAACAAAATGCACTACGCTAAAAGCTAGTGTAAAGATCTTTCGAGTGTTTTGTGTTTGAGAGAATGAAAGTTATGAGAGAGATTAGAAAACTACGAAAACTAATCCATGAGAGAGATCGTTGTGAAGCTCATTGAAGTTGGTCTCCCGCGGGAGGCCTCGAAGTGTGATATCGTATGTTATGGCAATAACTCTACGTACTCCACGGTCCATTTCCGGAACACGTGGAAACTTCAGCTAGTAGCTGTCTAGTAGCGTGGAAGCTTTCCACGCCGGCTAAATATCTAGAGCGATGTTTCATCGACAACCTAGTATGACTAGCAGTCATGAGAACCATGTCTCAATGACTATTCGCGAAGGACTACGTCATGAGTCGAACTCAAACCCTATCTAGGATCGAGTCGCGAATAAGGCTAAGAGCCGTGTATTGCATGAGCTCTCAATCTCATTTTTTCTATTTCCGGAAGACAGTATTAAACGGGTTTTCCCGGTAAATATAAGGTTAAAGTTATGGTTTACTCTGCATATTTATATTCAAAATATATATTACCACATCTACCAAACTTCCATCAAAGCAGTCTTCGTTCCGGAGTACTGGTATTTCACTTTCCTGTTTGCTTCCCATCCACTGAAGCCAGGATATAAGGCAGTAAGACTGGAAATTGAAGGTTCAATTGAAGCTTATAAGGTAGCTCCAATTAAACGCCAATTAGAAACACAGGCCCTTGTAACTTTTTAAAAACTATACTCCTCTCTAGCTAGCAACAACTTCAGCTTTTTTCGTGCAACCACTCGAAAGAGCGTGCAAAACTGTGCATTCCAGTACATGGTACAAGGTTTGGGAAGCTACAGTCGCTCAAAGCTTGCAACTTTTACTCTGAAAATGGGAGCATCAAAATGGTGAATAATGATGATATCCACTTTCTCGACTGCTACAGTCCATCCACAGGTCACTATTATGTGGGGATTGTCTTGCTATTATACTTAGGCGTCTTCTTCCAACAGGAGATGACAGGATTCCATTATTAGAACCACTCTCTGGACCTTTCAAGAGTGGCGGCAGCGGCCACACGACCATCCTCAAATCCTGTTTCTTCCTATTGAATGCTCTCTTTCTGTGGCTGGAACTGGCTCTTGCCCTGTCGACAGCAGCAAACTATAGCATTTTAAAATAAAGACACCTGACGATGTAAAAGTAGCACTGCTGTCTCGATGTGGCCTGCCAATAAAAATAATGAGCAAGGATCAAAACTGCACTAACCTTACCTCGGCAGTCTATCTGCCTGAGCCCTCACCCCCTTTTTTGGTATTTCCTGCTTCCTGTTTCCTGCTTCCTGTTTCCTGTTTCCTGTTCCGGTGAAGCCAAAATATAGGGATAGAGATAGGCACAAGCCAACTCTACAATTTAGGGGTAGGAATAAATCATGATTATTCAAGGTTAGTGCACTCAACACAATAATCCAGCAGAAGCTACAAAAGTTACAGGTACGTACGGGAGTGACAGCTGTAAAATTATGGTTAGCGGGCGGCAACACATGACGAAGTCGGGTGTTGTCGCCAGGGCTAGCTTAAATAAAAAGAAGGTTATAATGAAGGAATGATACCGGGCGGCAACACACGACGAAGTCGGGTGTTGCCGCCAGGGCTACCTTGAAAGAAGGGTGCAATCTCAAACATGTTATCATTCTTCTATCTGTCTTTCTGCCGAGGTATCGCAGCTCCCGCTGACTTATTAGGCTTAACAGGCACAGCATCTAAATGGCTGGCGACATTTTAAAAAAGGTTACGGTGTAGTGTACCAAGTTCATTACAAAAGTACAATAAGCCAGCAAGAGCGTAATTTCATGTTTCGTGGCTGACGCTCCACACTCCCCGCTCTCCCCGCTATCCCCACTCCAAACGGATTATCAAGTTAGACTAGACTAATTTTACAAGAATTATTGATGTCAAAATGGTCAGGCAAGCACACACCGCCAATAATAATTTTTATTTGGAATTAGCATTCACGCAGCTATTCACGCATTGTCATTCGATGACTACAGCTTCAACCCAGGGAGATTACCCTACTGAGGATGTATCAAACTTCCGTGAGTGACTGGTGAAAGGGTGAACGTGTGAACGTTGGCGCTGACTGGGTGCCTAGCTAGCTAGTAGCCGGGCAGGTACAGTCTTAGTAGCTGCTGGCTGCTGGTACTGGTAGAGCAGGCTGGTAGAATGCTTCCTTGCTATCTATCTAGCTAGCTAGCTAGCAAGCTAGTAGCTACTATGCATAGTCGCCCGATGCCTCTCTTGCGAGAAACAATCTTGTGCAGGCGAAGGAAGCAGAACCCACGCAGCCCTACCGATAGCTACTAGTAGTACAACTAACACCTACTCCTATGTACTTCTACTACTAGCTAGCTAGCTAGCTAGCTAGTAACTGTGATTGTCGGATTGTTGGTCAGTTCAGCCGTCAGTTCGGTGGTACGCTGTATTGGTGAATTCAATCGTTAGGCTATTAGCTAGTTCTGTTGTTCTGTTCTTTGTCTCGATTGTTCCACAAATGAAGCAGACATTATAATACTTTCAATAATTAGTGTATGGTTTCATAGTTTCATTTATTTTGTTACTACTATTAATAGTATATTGGTACAATTGCTAATATTGCTTAATAAGAGTTTCTCAGTACGGGAGTATCATTTTATATTACTGGTGATGTTTCAATACATAATTATCCTATAAAAATGTTTAGGCTTCAGATTCAGATGCTCTTCAGCTGGTGGTTCTCCCACAATGTCATCTAACATCCCCTACTGCCATAGAACTGTCGCAGCATCGGCACTTTGTGGATTATGAGAGGTGAATTTAATCATGAGGTATTGACAACGCTGGCCCCCTACAATTTAAAAGCCAGTGATTTACGGCACGAACGGTGCTTGAAGAGAGGGTGACAAAGCACCAGATCGTTGGGGTGAATTCATTCATGAGGGGACCATTCTTCAATCCAAAAATTTGAGTGCCCGTGAACTGCCACTTATGAGACGGTGGAAAAGAGCACTTTGTTGCGTGCAAGGAAACATCATCATCTGCTTCAACCGAGCCAAATCCAGTTTACACGATGCACAGTGCATCAAAGCATTTTCAAGGTAAACTGAGATCGTCCAATGCAAGTTAGACTACTAGCTAGCTAGCCTTTGTAGCGCAAGAGATTAGATGATGTGAGCTCGGCGAAGATGGTCTTCTCCAAGAGTAGCTGCGGGGTATCCCTCCTCCAAGTTTCAGTAGCCCATTGCAGTCTGGATCGCTGCAGCAAGTGCCGATACACTTGTAGTATTTTCGGAGAACTGACTGGCCATTCTCTGGATGGCCAAATCGAAAAAGCCGCACATTCAGAGCGACGATGATCCGATACTAGTTGTGGGCCTATAAAAAGACCGAGACCAATAGTCCTCCAGTGGTCCCCAGACAAAATAGGAATCATCACTCTGGCTAAACTGATAGTTGCTCCATTTTGAAAGAGTGGTTGGTACTCGAGTACTACATGTACGGTATTACTTGTAGCATAACAGTGGTTACCAACGAACAAGGCTGCAACTGTCAAGTGTGCAGAATCTTACCTGAAGATCTCCTCTGCCAAACTCATTTATTATTTCGTGTAGCCTATTAGTCTACCGGTATGATGGCATTTCTATGCATGAGCCTGAGGCTTGCTCGGATGACTACATCATGTAGCTATCATGTACATGTACGGTACATGTAGCCGTACCGGTACCGGCACCAGTAAAACAGCAACCCAAGGAAGAAGGAAGGCGAGGAGATATGAAGTGGACTTCGAAACTGAAAATTGACAAACTACGGGAAGAGAATCATATACCCCACCGCCCACCATGTTGTTCTTTGGAGAACACTTACTTCTTACTTTTCCTCTATGCTTTTCAGCTCACTTTTCTTCACACTTTAAAAGGGCAGTCTCAGTGCAAACATTTAGTATTAAGGCTCCTTTAAAAAAAGAACTTTGGGAGGTTCGTTGTAACAATGTCATTGTGCTCGTAGCGTCCCTTTTCATCTCCCGTGGTGAAGGACACGACTAGAAAGTGTGCAGACGTTCACAAGTACCAAGGCGGCACTGCAGAAGACACTTCGAACTGTGGAAGGCTGCGTTGGCACATGACTATGATACCAACTGCCTTGTCTGAAGTAAAAGCAAGCCCTCGGCGCAGTAGCAAATAATAACTACTAATCATTGTGATCAATCAATCAACCAACTGCCTTGTCTCTACTGGCAAAAACCTAATAAGAGGAGGCTAGCTAGCAGGGCTAGACATCTCGTAAAATGGGTGAATGTGACTGACTTGGCCCGCACACACAGCCAGCTATCCCGCACCAAAGCCTCACTCTATTATTTTTTAATATCTTAGCATAGTTCAGATTTCAGGAGAAACCGATTGCATCCATTGAGATTAACAAAACAGAAAAGAGGAGCACACTTTTCACTCAGCACAGACTTGTCCAAGGTAAACCAAAGTGTCACAATGATGAACAAGGGCAACATCGAAGAGTCCTCCACTGGGAGTAGTGCAAGTGATAAAGGAGATTGCTTCAAGGAGACGAAGGGATTACCAACTGAATATGATGTGCACGCGCAAGAGGATGATGGCAAAGCAGAAGAAGACGCAACGGGCTGTGATGATGGGCAGGAACCTGGATCGCTGAAGAAAGCCCCCGATGAGGCCACGTCCTACAGGAAGAGATGGACGGAGATGTATCAGAGGCTTGTGGCATTTCGTCAGGTAAGAAACTGTGGTATTGCTAGAAGACTGTCGCTTTCGCCGCAGAATTCTTTTAACTCCCTGATCCTTTGCTTGCCTTGACACGCAGAAACATGGTCACTGCATGTAAGCGACCAGGTAGCAGCACACTGGACGCGGCTGGAGGAAAATCGATCATACCTAACCAACGGTACATCTTTCTTGTATTCCTTCATTCTATCAGGGTCCCCAACAGATACGATGAAGACACACAGCTGGGATACTGGGGTGAGTACGGTGTATCCTGCACCATCAGAGGCGTCTGCACAATGCCCTGTCTCACCATCACAACTCTGTGCTTCCTCGCCTGCCCTGCATTCAGTTTCAACGCAGAGGAGACAGTACAGAATCCTGTCAACTGCGGGCGCAGATTCCGTCCCCTTGTCGGCAGAGAGAGTCAAAGCTCTCGAGGACATTGGTTTCGAATGGAGCGCTGTCCCAGCGAGTCACAAGTCATGGGACGGACGGTTTGCAGAATTGGTTAGCTTCGTGGTAAGGTTGCGATAGCAGAGCTGGGTAATGGGTTCACGACGTAGTGCTCAACACATGTATGCAATGGCTTCCACAGCAACAGTTTGGTCATGCCCAAGTGCCCATGGGATACGAGGTGAGAACATTTGCTGCCTCCAGGAACGGCTCGCCCTCGGAGCAAGCAAACTAACAGTCAAATTCGCTACTGCAACTACCAGGACAATCCAAGACTAGGTTGGTACAGGGGTGTGAACGGAAGTCGAGTCCTTAATTTGCACTTGGGCTCACTTGCAATTCTTTTCTTTACATTGCTCGTCTCCTCCAGCGACGTGGGTCTCCACACAGGTAAGAAACCCTCGTGCTTGCTCTGGTTGCCAAATCCTTGTCTATTGTGAGACTCACGAATCCTTGTGCGCAGCGGCAAGAATACAAGCTGTTAAAGCAGGGCCGCTCGTCGAGACTAACCGAGGCAAAGATCAAGAAGCTTGAATCCGTTGGTTTTGTGTGGGAAGCTCAGCGAGGCCGAAGAAAAGTACGGTCGAGCACCGAAGAGGACTCCAAGAGCGGTGTAGCTTCGCCAACAGAAGGCGCCGCTTGTCGACAGCAGGGCCCAGAAAGCCCCACGCAGACAGAGACACTGCCAAATGCTTCGACTGCTCCTTTCCAGGTGCAAGCCAATTTTCAGCACGGATTGGTTCATTCTTCACGAATGCCCTCTTTGTCCGGAGAAGCTTCTGTTCGATCGCCTGCATCAGCGGTTCCGGAGGCAGCGGTGAGCATGGATCGCATCAGGTCTTTGATCGCACGAAGAGCTTCCCCAACATCGATGTCGATCGCCCAAGGTATTCGTGACCCTCAAGGGCTTGCTTCCTCTCGAGCGTCTCTACTCAGGGCCGCGAGTGCTACAGCAAGAGAGCCCTCGCCTTCTTCGTTGCCATCGACAGCTTTCATCGATCCGAATCTTCTTCGACGAGTCAATGAGAGGGGTATACCACTCGAAAACTTGGCGTTCCCCTTGCGTTCGTCGTTGACCGCTTCTACCAACCTTGCAAGCAACCCCTTGGAAGACTTCTTGGTACAGCGGCGATCCAATATGCAGCCACAAGTCTCCCTCTTCCAACCCCAAGCTCCTCAGGGCATAGCGCACAACCAGGAACTTGTAATTCGGCTTGCGGAAGCACGAATCGCTCAGCAACAGAGACAGCAGCAACTAGAGGCACTGGTAAATCGGCAAAATCTCGCTTCTTCATCTACCGGGTTTCCGTCACAGTTTCAGCGATCGCTCGGGTTGGATTCTCAAGCGCCTTCGTGGCAGCGACTTTCCACTTCAGCAGGGGCCCCTGTCCTGCCAACGAACGATCCCTTTTCGAGCATATTGGCTCAGCATCATCAGCGGCAAGAACAGTTCCAATACCAAGACCCTTTGTCGCTACAAGCTCTAGCCCAACCGGGGCTCTCTTTGGATGATCTGCGCCTTGCTCAGCTAAGGTCCGCCCGTGAGCTGGATTACATCGGAAACCTCCGGCAGCACTTGGGCGATACCAACGCAGGACAAGCGGTTGCAAGAGCCGGGTCCACAGAGGATGCTGATGATGGTGACTACACGGACGAGAGGAGGGAGAGTAGAAAGAGGTCTCCAGAAGACTTCAACGATTCGTTGGCAAGGAAAAGGAGAAGGTAGGGCACAGCCTACCAGTGTACTCTCTAGTTGAGAGACATAAACAAACTGTAATGTTGCATACTAATTAATTGTAGTCTGCAGAACTCCATTGAGCATGCCGCAGTTTCGATGGCGAGGCACCGCGTACCGGCACACTTATTTGGCATCGTCTTCATGGTTGGTTTTTACTAGTAATGGGCCGAAGGAACCTTCACTCCGCCGAACTGAACCGAGGAACCCAGTGTTCAGCCTTGAGTGGGTCCAGGAGTTGCTCCATGCTTTGGCCTGGGTGTGGGTCCTAGTTTAGGTCCAGGCGTAGTCCCTGCCTGTTGTCGCTGAGGGTGGATCCAGGCGTTTTAAAAAAAGAATCTGGGGACCAGAAGTTGGGATGGAGATGGACCAAGTTTCAAACCTGGGGTGGGAACTGGACTTGGGCCTGGATCCGCACCTACCAACACCACGACCCACACCATGGCCCACTCCTCCAAGACACAGTCAGTCTGCAATTTCAGCATTTTTCAGTCTTGCATGCTGAAATTTGCCGAATTTTGATGATGGTTGCTGACTGATGCTGAAAATGCTGACTGAATGCTGAACTTTGCTGAACTTGCTGAATCCATTGCTGAAAAATGCTGACAGATGCTGAATCCAAACAAGGTTATTTACTAGTAAATGCTGAATTCTGCTGAATCTTGCTGAACTTGCTGAATCCATTGCTGAAAAATGCTGACTGATGCTCTGACTAATGCTGAATGATGTTGACTGATGTTGACTGATGGTGAATGATGCTGAAATTGCTGAATCTGATGCTGACAAATGCTGAATTTGCTGAATCCAGTTTCAGCAAAAATAATCAATTACCGTGTCTTCCTGGATGCTTGGTTACCAACACCAGGACATACGGTACCGTACCATACCCTCATGGTTCCATGTTCCATGCCCCAATCCCAGACCACCGCCCTGACCAACTCCCAGACGGTGTTTTGGTTTGGACATCGCGCGGCAGTACTGTACCGGTACTGCGTTTCTGCAACAGTAGTTGCACAGTGTCAGTATGTGCTTCCCACCACTCATAGGTAACTTTACATACCCTCAGGATCCATGAGGGTATGCTACGTAGAGGATGTATGGTAGCGGCAGTCATTGAAACAAAGATCCTCTCAATAAGACTCCCAATATTAAATAAACTGCAACAGTGAAGATATAAGGACGGCCCATAAAGACCAACCACATACTAGAGGATCCAATATTCGCTTAAGTAACACCAAACATACCTGCCATTCTCACATCCGATCCAACCGTTGCAGAAAGATACTCTCAACCAGCCATTGGTACGAATCGTTCGTTGGATCCTACGACGTTGCAGCATACTCAAGGCAATCCCGTAGCGCTAGCCAGCTACTAGCGGCAAAGAGGCAAACAACGTACGGATCGTACGGATCCAAGCGATCGTTCAGTTCAGTTCAGTTCAAGTTCAGTTCAGTTCAGTTCAGTTCAGTTCAGTCAGTTCAGTTCAGTTCAGTTCAGTTCAGTTTGATCCTCATTATTTTCATCCTTCTACTCTTGTAAAGGAAACTCTGCCAATTCCAACTCAACCAACCAACAATTGCTTAGTTGACCAAACAATTCTCCACCATGGCCAATGCTGGAGCAGCCTTTGGGTTGGAAGACGTGCCGGATTTGCCTGAGCACCCACGGAACAGCCAAGTACAACCGGGATTACCATCGTCTCTCGTCAAATTTATGAGCTGGCTGCACAAGAGGACATACACCAAGGCGGCCCGCTTCCAACCTAGTGCTTTGGCCGGCATCCAACCACACACGTTGCCGACTACTTGAAATGGCGTGCGTATGGTACGACCGATGTTGACTTCAAAGATCTTGAGCAGAATCCAACTTGCCGCTCCTCTATCTTGAGCAAGACAAGAAGCTATCTCCTTCTACATGCCCATCAAAGGTGCACATGGAATGGAACCTCGGCAATCCAACCAAGTCCGATCTGTGAACGAAGTGGTCAAGGAAGTCAAGAAAGCGGAGACTCAACACCGCGGCAAGAAGTCCTGTGCCACCAGGGATTTGACGAAACAGAGTATCGCAAGGTGGTCCATGAACTCTACGGCAAAGGGAGCTTTGAATCGACATCCGTACAGCCTGCATGTTGAAGCAGCAAGTCCATCTCATCACCAGAACGGACGACATCTCCAAGTTGAAGTATTCCGACTACAAGCCGCATCCAGACTTCCCTTTTGCGCTCAGTTGCAAGGTGCATTGGTCCAAGAATATTTCGGAAGAACGACAATGCCCTGACCAAATCATTCTTGGGTCGATGGATACCGACTTTTGTGCTATGCTCGGATTGGCGAATTACATGGAGGCGTCCTTCAACTACGGGTATGGCGCCGCTGGTCGGGAAGATGCATTCCTCTTTACTCCCGAAAGCGATCCCAAGTTGGCTCCCAAGCACTGCAACGCAGCCTACCGCAACATTCTGAAGGCTGTCTTTTTGTCGGCTCCATTTTGGCTGTGGCGCTCCTCATTGCTGGTGTTCTTGGGAGTCACAGCATTCGGAAGTTTGCTGCAACTCTGGCAAGAGGGATGGGTGCTACTGCTGACGAAGTTGACATTCGAGGTCGCTGGAAGGCTCGCTTATCTGGACGGGTTGTTGATGCCTACATTTGCCTGAACAGCCCTGGATCGACGCTCGTGTTGCCGAAAAGCTTTGCATGGGGCTCCTATTGCCTACAAGCTACACCCGGATGCCAAGAGAGTGACTCCCGACTGGTTGATTGAGCATGTGGTGCCAAGGACACACGCGTTTTACGACGGTGTCAACGACATTTCGCTTCACTTGGCTCTGCCTCTGTTGTGGGCTGCTCTTGACGAATCTTGGGAGGAGAGGATGGAGCCTCCCGTTCGTGTTAGGATCCAAGATGCGTACGAGCGCATCAAGGCCGATATTCCTGTTGCGTCAACCCTGTGGTGAAAGTGCCTCTCTCTATTTGGACGCACAACACCAAGCTCCACATCAACGAAATCGAGCCGATGGATACGGGAGGTGGCGGTGGCACGGCTGGTGGCACCAATGGAACGACCGGCCAGGCAAGCACTCGTCAAGTTGCCAATCAGTCTCGGCAGGTGACGGCTATGCAAACGCAACAGCAGGTACGAACGAACGAGGAGATTCTGACAAGGATTATTGCGCAGCACAACCAGCTCAGCAGCTCATTGCGCAGGAAGGTAGGACCCGCGACAGTTCGGCGCTGCTTTGAGAGGTTGGTTGGAGACTTGGCTTGGCGCGGAGCTGACGAAACTAATGGAAATATTTGCAGGTAAGTGTGGACTTGTGGCTGTTGGCTATTGCAACTATGGCTATTACTGCTGCTAACTCTGTATTTTTGTTTGCTTTTTAGGATTGCTGTTCAGCCTCCAAGGATGGCAACACCTGATCAGGTAGATGTAATCTTTTTAGAAATGGGTTGACTGTGGAAAGGACTCGCCGGAATGCCAGACTAGCCTCAGGTCAGACAAGCTGTGGCCACCACCCTGCTGATAGTAGGCCTGCCAAGCTAGCCAAGTACAGAACTGTTGGCTTGCTTGGCAAGAGTGGATGCATGGTATTGGTGGCAACAAGCCAGCCAAGTCGTGATGTCAGGGCTTGCAAGTCAACCTACTCCGGAGGAAGCCACTCTGGACTCTCATGGCTACACTTGTCAATGCTCAGAAAGCTCCAGCTTGGGTCATCTCCAAGATTGAGGAGCATTACAAAGGAAGTGTTTTGAATATTACTGCTGCCATCAAGCAGGACACCATTATGGGCAGTCTGCATGAGGATCTTTGTATTGTTCGTGCTCAGTAAAGTTGACCTTAGTTTGATAAGCATGGTAGCCATGCCTAATAGTGAGTTTGTTACATGGACTTGATCTTTTTCGTTTTCATTTTCGTGACTTGTGCTTTTCGAACGTACATAGTGGTAGCTAGCTAGCTAGCTAGCTAGCTAGCTAGCTAGTAGCGATTTCGAGGACTTGCGTTTTCGAGAATAGAGATAATAGAGGTGCGACGTTATCTTAACAGTGAGTAGTAGAGGTGCGAGCCTCATTTTTCTTACGGTCAAGGACGTGACCTCCTCAGTGGTATAAACGAACTGATCAACCAGCGTACACCAGGTGTTGGTGGTTGTTGGGTGATACCTCGATCGATAGGATGGATACCTCCTGTAGGATCACCTACCACGTACAGGCTCTCAGTATTCTCTCAGTTCGGGATATACTTTTACGGTACCTGGTACAGTTCTAGCTAGTAGTGTACGTAAAAGTATATCCCAGAACTGAGAGATATACTGAGAGCCTGTACCTGTAGTAGTGGATCTACAGGAGGTATCCATCTATCGATCGAGGTATACCACACCACCAACACCTGGTGTACGCTGGTTGATCAGTTCGTTTATACCACTGATGAGGTCACGTCCTCGCCTGTAAGAAAAATGAGGCTGCACCTCTACTACTCACTGTTAAGATAACGTCGCACCTCTATTATCTCTTTCTCGAAAAGCAAGTCCTCGAAATCGCTACTAGCTAGCTAGCTAGCTAGCTAGCTAGCTACCACTATGTACGTTCGAAAAGCAAAAGTCACGAAAAGAAACGATAAAGATCGTCAATGTAAAATCACTTTTAGGCATGGCTACATGCTATTAAACTAGGTCAACTTTACTGAGCAGAACAATACAAAGATCCTATGCAGACTGCCCATAATGTTGTCCTGCTTGATGGCAGCCGTAATATTCAAAACACTTCCTTTGTAATGCTCCTCAATCTTGGAGATGACCCAAGCTTGAGCTTTCTGAGCATTGAAAAGTGTAGCCATGAGAGTCAGAGTGGCTTCATCCTGGAGTAGGTTGACTTGCAAGCCCTGATATCTTCAGCATGAAGTTCTTGGCTGGCTTGTTGCCACCAATACCATGCATCCACTCTGCCAAGCAGAGCCAACAGTCTGTACTTGGCTAGCTTGCAGGCCTACTATCAGCAGGGGGGTGAGCCTCCACGCTTGTCTGTACCTGAGGCTTGTCTGGCCATTCCGGCGAGTCTTTCCACAGTCAACCCATTTCTAAAAAGAATACCATCTACCTGATCAGGTGTTGCCATCCTTGAGGCTGAACAGCAATCCTAAAAAGCAAAAAAAAATAAGAGTTAGCAGCAGTAATAGCCATAGTTGCAATAGCAACAGCCACAAGTCCACACTACCTGCAAATATTTCCATTCAGTTTCGTCAGCTCCGCGCCAAGCCAAGTCTCCAACCAACCTCTCAAAGCAGCAGCCGAACTGTCGCGGGTCCTACCTCCTGCGCAATGAGCTGCTGAGCTGGTTGTGCTGCGCAATAATCCTTGTCAGGATCTCCTCGTTCGTTCGTACTGCTGTTGCGTTTGCATAGCCGTCACCTGCCGAGACTGATTTGCAACTTGACGAGTGCTTGCCTGCCGGTCGTTCCCGTAGTGCACCAGCCGTGCCACCGCCACCTCCCATATCCATCGGCTCGATTTCGTTGATGGGGAGCTTGGTGTTGTGCGCCAAATAGAGAGAGGCACTTCACCACAGGGTTGACGCAACAGGAATATCGGCCTTTGATGCGCTCGTACGCATCTTGGATCTACACGAACGGGAGGCTCCATCCTCTCCTCCAAGATTCGTCAAGAGCGCCCACAACAGAGGCAGAGCCAAGGAAGCGAAATGTCGTTGACACCGTCGTAAAAGGCGTGTGTCCTTGGCACCACATGCTCAATCAACCAGTCGGGAGTCAATCTCTTGGCATCCGGGTGTAGCTTGTAGGCAATAGGAGCCCCCATGAAGACTTTGTCGCACGGCACATTCAGGCGATCCAGCGTTAAGAGTAGGCACACAACAACCGTCCAGATAAGCGAGCCTTCCAGCGACCTCGAATTCAACTTCGTCAGCAGTAGCACCATCCCTCTTGCCAGAGTTCAGCAAACTTCCGAATGCTTTGACTCCCAAGAACACCAGCAATGAGGAGCGCCACAGCCAAAAATGGAGCCGACAAAAAACAGCCTTAGAATGTTGCGGTAGGCTGCGTTGCAGTGTTGGGAGCCAACTTGGATCGCTTTCGGGAGTAAAGAGGAATGCATCTCCCCGACCAGCGGCGCCATAACCGTAGTTGAAGGACGCCTCCATTTAATTCGCCAATCCGAGCATAGCACAAAAGTCGGTATCCATCGACCAAGAATGATTTGGTCAGGGCATTGTCGTTCTTCCGAAATATTCTTGGACCAATGCACTTGCAACTGAGCGCAAAAGGAAGTCTGGATGCGGCTTGTAGTCGGAAACTTCAACTTGGAGATGTCGTCCGTCTGGTATGAGATGGACTTGCTGCTTCAACAGCAGGCTGTACGGATGGTCGATTCAAAGCTCCCTTTGCCGAGAGGTTCATGGACACCTTGCGATACTCTGTTTCTCAAATCCCTGGTGGCACAGACTTCTTCCGCGGTGTTGATCTCCGCTTTCTTGACTTCTTGACCACTTCGTTCACAGATCGGACTTGGTTGGATTGCCGGAAGTTCCATTCCATGTGGCACCTTTGATGGGATGTAGAAGGAGATAGCCTTCTTGTCTGCTCAAGAGTAGAGGAGCGGCAAGTTGGATTCTGCTCAAGATCTTTGAAGTCAACATCGGTCGTACCATACGCACGCCATTTCAAGTAGTCGGCAACGTGGTGTTGTTGGATGCCGGCCAAAGCACTAGGTTGGAAGCGAGCCGCCTTGGTGTATGTCCTCTTGTGCAGCCAGCTCATAAATTTGACGAAGAGACGATGGTAATCCCGGTTGTACTTGGGCTGTTCCGTGGGTGCTTCAGGCAAATCCGGCACGTCTCCAACCCAAAGGCTGCTCCAGCATTGGCCATGGTGGAGGAATTGTTTGGTCAACTAAGCAATTGTTGGTTTGGTTGAGTTGGAATTTTGGCAGAGTTTCCTTTACAGAGTAGAAGGAATGAAAATAATGAGCTCAAACTGAGGAAACTGAACTGAACTGAACTGAACTGAACTGAACTGAACTGAACTGAACGATCGCTTGGATCCATACGATCCGTACGTTGTTTGCCTCTTTGCCGCTAGTAGCTGGCTAGCGCTACGGGATTGCCTTGAGTATGCTGCAACGTCGTAGGATCCAACGAACGATTCGTACCAATGGCTGGTTGAGAGTATCTTTCTGCAATGGTTGGATCGGATGTGGGAATGGGCAGGTATGTTTGGTGTTACTTAAGCGAATATTGGATCCTCTCAGTATGTGGTTGGTCTTTATGGGCCGTCCTTATATCTTCACTGTTGCAGTTTATTTAATATTGCGAGTCTTATTGAGAGGATCTTTGTTTCAATGACTGCCGATACCATACATCCTCTACGTAGCATACCCTCATGGATCCTGAGGGTATGTAAAGTTACCTATGAGTGGTGGGAAGCACATACTGACACTGTGCAACTACTGTTGCAGAAACGCAGTACCGGTACCGTACAACTGTACCGCTACGACTGCATGGTAACACTAACTCTATTGTAGATTCCAAAGATACGTTGAAAATCCAAGGCGGCGAAGCCCACCGTCGAAGCCAATGCATGGCCAGAGTAGCTACTAGCTAGCTCTAGCTAGTACTGTAGTCCACTCACTTGCAGCAATCATCGAACAGATCCATGTACATCAGTCGCTTGCCCAGTTATCTTTGCCGTCACCTCAGTGCAAGTGCTAGTAGGAGCAGTCTCAGGAACTTTCACCTTGGGCTTGTTTTGTTCTTGTCGAGCCGCAGTGCTGCGCGTTCCTTTTCTTTTGTGTCAGCCCCGTCTCTTGTCTTGGGCGTTTCTTCGTCGACAGTCACAAGTGCTAGTACTAGTACTAGTACCTTCAGGGGTGTTTCTTCGTCATTCCCTGTATCCCGGCTCAACATGATGTCAACAAGCATAACATTCGACAAAGTGGAAGATGAAAAGGAGGTGACCACCACGATGGTGATTGGCAAAAAGAGCGTGCTTTCAGAAGTTGCTCTGGCGGGAAAATTGGGCATGGAAAAAGACACCGTGGAAGCCATCATGAACGCCATTGACGGCCCCTCTGGTGCGACTAGTACATTTGTTGGAAAGAACAAGGTTGCCATTGGCATTATTCCCGAAAAAGTCTCCCGGAACAACCATCCATGGTCGGTTCACGCCATTACGGAGATGGTAAAGAGTCACATTCCAAAGGGTCAAACCAGTCAGATTATCATGGTCGGAGCGGATGCTGTGAAGTACCAAGGAGCCTTGACGGCTGCTGTCGCCAAGGCATTCCCAGTTTATTCCAAAAAGACCACCGAAGCGTCTCGCAAAGGAGAAGACGAATCTCAGAAAAACAGTCGGAAAATTCACATGGCTTTGTGGGATGAAAAGGGGGCTCCCCTGGCATGTCCGCCTGATGCAACCACATCTGCATTGGCTGCTGCAGAAGGAATTCAATTGGCGGCAAGACTAGTGGATTCCCCACCGGAAGAATTGACAACAGATGCCTATGCTGCGGAATGCAAACGGCTGGCAGAGGAACTGGATGGAGTCAGTTTCAAAGAAATTGTCGGGAATGACCTCTGCGAAAAAGGATACGGTGGCATTTACGGAGTTGGCAAAGCAGCAGTGTGCCCACCAAGATTGGTCATCATGGAGTACACCCCACCTGGTGCAACCCCCGAGGGGAAAACCATTTGTCTGGTGGGAAAGGCCATTGTCTACGATACAGGTGGACTCTCGCTCAAGCCAAAAACTGGTATGTGCGGAATGAAGGCCGACATGGGTGGAAGTGCAGGATTATTGGGGGGCTTTGTCAGCGCTGTCAAAGCAGGGTACCCCAACAAATTAGTGTACCTCGTTTGCATGGCGGAAAACGCTATAGGCCCCTCTGCCTTTCGCAATGACGACATTTTGACCATGTATTCTGGCAAGACGGTGGAAGTCAACAATTGTGATGCCGAAGGCCGACTTGTGCTGGGCGATGGAGTTGCCCACGCATCCAAGCACATTGAAAACCTGGACCTTATCGTTGACATGGCTACTTTGACCGGTGCTCAGATGGTGACGACTGGTCAAAAGCACGCTGGAATATTGACAAACAAAGCGGAACTAGAAGTCAAGGCTGTAGCAGCAGGACTCCAGTCGGGGGATCTGGCATATCCAATGCTGTATGCTCCCGAGTTGCTGAAGAAGGAGTTCAACTCCAAGGTTGCCGACATGAAGAATTCCGTCAAAGATAGGTCAAATGCTCAATCTTCTTGTGCCGGTCATTTCATCGAGGCTCATTTGGACGAAAACTACGAGGGAGGTTGGCTACATGTGGATATGGCAGGGCCAGCCACTGAAAACGAACGTGGCACAGGATACGGCGTTGGCCTGGTTCTTTCGCTTCTAGGTGTTGCCGGCTTCTAGTTGAACGGGCCATTATGAAGCAAAGAAAGCATCACAATATCTTTTAACTAGAATCTAGAACGACCATCAAAAGATTGATACTAGTATCGACGTTCTTCCTTGCGGTTGCATGGTGTGTTGGCACTAGGAGGGCACTGGTACATGACGTCGGATAGGGATGATAATAGTACAGTACCGGTAGTGCTGTAGTGGATCGGTGAAAAGCCACCATCTTTCACACGAAGGGTTCAACACACGTATCACATGATGTGCGTCGGCGTTGATACTGCCAAACTGTCTCGTGTCAAGATTTGATTAGTTTTAATCTAAATTCAACAAATCGTGTATCGTTCTTTTAGCACCACACATAGCACGTTAGAGCCAGTTGATCGTCGACGAATGATTCAATCATTCGAATCTTGCCCGCAGCACAATCCTCTCACAAATCGACTAGTATTCCAAACTCACACATTGGCACACATTAGGAAATCTGACACTTTTCAATTTCCAAGGCAATGGGCATCATTCAAGCTGCAACGATCCTCGTTATGATTCTTAGCGTTGCGGCGGCATCGAAGCGATCATCCCGAAAATTCAGGCAAAAGACGAACCTTCGCATTGCAACAGTAGATTGCAAACGTGACGGTGACGGTGACTGTCCGCAAATCCGTTGCATGCTCGCACCGTGTCCTCAACTAGTATGCCACGATGGCCAGTGCCTCCCAGACAGCGTCGTTTGTGGGAACAATGTCTGCGAAGAAGGCGAGGTTTGCTGCAACGGGTTCTGTGGTGCACACGGGAACAACGTTTGCCCTCCAACGACCGAGTTGCACTCGACGTCTTGTAAGGATGCCCCTGGTGGATGTCCTGAGGTAAGCGGCTTGCCTCATCCCTTTCGACTTGGTGCTATTTCGAAACTGCTCTCATGGTACTATCAAATCTCTTCTCCCGGAATCGAATCCACAGTGCAAGAGAGACATTGATTGTCCCATGCCAATGTGCTTGCCAGGCGTCTACTGTCCGCAGTTTGTGTGCGAGGATGGCCAATGCGTTGACAAGGTTGATCACCAGCAGGGATCTGAATGCGAGCAAGACTACCATTGCCCTCAGCCTGGTTGTCGACCTGGACACTTCTGTCCCACGTTCGCTTGCAAAAGAGGTCAGTGTTTTGAGAATGAACTTGTTTCTTGCCCTCAAGACACCAAGTTGTGCCCGGACGGATCCTTTGTCTCAAGAGCAGGTCCTGATTGCGGCTTTGCTGAGTGCCCTCAACTGTATATTAAGTGTCGGGAACAGCAAGATTGTCCACAAGTTCGCTGCAGGTTGGGAGCCCCTGGCTGCCCTGAATATCACTGTGACATGGAGAGAGGCGTTTGTGTTGATCTGAGCCAAGACGAAGCCGGTGAAAGTTGCGGCCCAATAGTCTGCGGAAAGGATGAGTTCTGCTGCAACTCTTCGTGCGGCACGTGTGCTCCAAAAGCAAATGGAATTTGCACTCAACAAGTCTGTGATTCTGAAACTCAGATCGTGGAGCCTTCGAACGACTTGGCACAGGGACCTCCAATCAGCTGCTGCAAAGATCCCAGACCCTCTGACGCGGACTGTGGAAGGTCTGGCTGTCACTGTTGTGGTGATGGAAAGTGGTTACTTGGAAGCAGCGGGCCCACGGTGGCTTCCAGTGAAGCCTGTGGCGAGCTTCGGGTTTCTGAGCCGTGCAACGTCGTGGGAACGCTCGAAACTGCATGTCGTGAGGATGCTGACTGTCCTGCCTTCACCTGTGAAGCAGCGCCTTGTCCCTCTACTGCCTGTAAAGAGGGAAAGTGCGTTCTAGTCAAACACTGACATTCGTTCGGTCGGTAGAACGACAAAGTAAGTGTAGTAAACAAATGCCGTCATTGTTCATGAATTGTGTGCAAATCATAGCGGACCCATCCCGCGGAGGGACGTATCGTGGCATAATATACATAGAATGCGCCAGGAAACATAACAATGGAACTTGTGAATAGAAAGTGACAGAGGAATTGTCGCTTCTTTGTGTGCGCTCCTTGCTGTCGCCCTTCTGCCTCAGCTGGGAATGTTGGCCTGGCTCCTGTAGCCTAGACTACAGTATTTAATAGTAGAGCTAGCCAGAGACAGGAACGACCTGGATGGGGTCTCGCCGTCTCACCATTCATGCGGGATTCAAGGCAAGAGGCCGCAAAAGCTCGGACTCGACTCCCAAACAACAAGACAAAGACGAAACAACACCAGCACTACGAAGGCTCCCCTCGTATTGCTCTGCCACCCGAAAAGATGTACAGGAGGTCTCTAGCTGTCCTGGCAAAGCGCACTGTTGTTCGAGATCCGCGGAAGAAAGCTGCACCGATGGTGGTTCGGGCAAGTGAAGACAAGCAAGTAGCTCCTCAACCGTCGGCAAATCAATCTCCGTTGCCAATCTCTCCTCCACAGCAGCAGCAACCACCATCCACTGGTGCGACGCTTGGCTTCTACATGATGGCTGGAGTTGGAGTTAGCCTTGGCTTTGCCCTCGTTGGATCCATTCTTGGCTAGCTAGCTATGATGTACTACCTGTAGCTACTCGATAGCGATCTGATTTAAAACAAAAAAAGCCAGCCAGAACTGTCGCTAGAAAAACACCCATCAAAACTCCCTCTGTTTGGGCAGATTTTATTCCTTTGGAACACAAGAAATCGTCAGCTTCAGTTGAACTGGCCAGAAAGGTAGGTTACTAGCTAGCTCGTAAGACCCAACTAAACCATGACAGTTCCTATTTCATTAATTTCTTTCACAGCTAGTACTTTTTTTGGATTTGGCATCAGGTGCACCAGGAACTTTGGAAGAGACTCCGCCAAGAAGCCCACTTCCCTCATTCCTAGATGCGATGATGCTCGAACTAGCGCACACACACAATTTTTTTCTTTTTCACATATAATGGTTCGAATGGCCACCAAACTCCAACTCCAGGACCTTCGAACCAGCCTCTCGTTCACCGGCTGCAATCACATAAGCAAGCGCAACCATCATCAATTCATTCATTCGTAGTTCTTGTTCGTATCTCTCTTCTCTAATCTTCGTCGTAATCATCTTAGTCACCGCGCCAACCGCAAACAGTGACAGCAAAAAACCTTTCTTTGTTTCGTTTCTTGCCAAAGCAAATCTTTCATTTAATCTTCGTCGTTGTTGTCGGGGGGAAACAAAGGCCTCGTCCTTTACCTATTACCAAAGCGCTGAATGGCCCTTCCATGCTCGTCCTTGTTGCTGATGAACAGCTCGATGTAACGAGTTCCCATCGACTTGCGATGTAGTTCCATGGCCTTCTTGGAGTCATCTGGGGAAATGAAACCAACATACGCCTCGCCAGTAGCTCTTCCGTCGCTACGGTAGGTGAGCACAATGCTGTCTGGGACGGGGTTGTATCCGTCAAAGAACTTGAAAATGTCGTCCTTGGTCGAGGAGAAAGGCAATCCTCTCATCCTCAAAAAGCCAGTATGTTCTCCAATTTGGATTCCTCCTCCGGTGCGTTTCATGCTAAGTTGAGGGCCGGATCGGCCTCCAACACCCGATCCTATTCCCCTCTCAACCCCTCCGGAACCCATGCCCATTCCAGGCATCATCCCTAGTCCGCGATGTCCCCCCATCGAATCAGCTCCCCCCTGAAGCTGGTCCCTTTCACGTCCATGGAGAAAGTTAACCGATGACAAGCCAGATGTGGTACCGCCCCACATGTTGGAGTCAGAAGACATGGGACCGCTCTCCCCACGCCTCGATCCCCCATCCTTCATCGACTGAGGCTGCTGTTCCTTCAAGTGCTGCTGCGAGATCACCGACGAACCGAAACAGAACGAGTTGAAAAATGAGCGCCAAACCAGCACACATTCGAGCTCCACTGTTGCCCCAACCAACGTACCGCAGCGATCGCTTCGTAGTAGTCGGCTCTGGTGGCCTGGGTGATCTCGACGTATCGCCTGCCGACTGACTGACGATCACTGCGAATGTCAAAGAGGAAACAGCGGCAAGAGGAGGTGAGTCGAACAACAAACGACAAAAAGACCCAACGACCGTCATGACTGTGGCTCCGCAGCCCAAGAAAAAGATCCAGATTCGCATCAAGACTCGGCAATCGATCACCAGAGCCTCTCAGCCAGTCATTCCATCGCATGACGTACCGCTGAAGTCCCATCTGGTGGTCCATGAGGTTGGCAAAGAGGACAAATGCCACACCCTGACCGACAATGAGAACATCGAGAACCACGAGCCCCTGAAAGAGCCCAAGAATGTCTTCCAAAGAAACATCAAATGGCAGGCCTTCCAACTTGACACAGGGAAAGAGACCCAAAAGCGACTCGAGCGGATCCGTGGAACCTCCCAAACCGGGAATTCCAGGAGGAAGGTGCTCCATCGTCGTCGTTGCACCAGCAGGTGAAGGATATCCGGTTAAAACTCGTCCGTGATGAGCGTGCTGGTAAGTATACTGGTGATACCTGGTATATGAAATAGCGGATACAAGTGTAGCAAGCAATTACAAGTACAGATGGTACATGCGATCCGTAGTGAATTGCGTTGCGTGTGTCGATGGACGTAGTGGCCAAGTCGGTGTTGTCGTTCCAAACCACAACAGCGAGTAGCACACCACACCGCACCCCACACAGATCCGATATCAGACCAACCCAAAGTGACAGGGGAAACCCCAAGATGATGAGCGAGAGTATGGAATCAGAATTGATTGCAAAATAGTAACATGGAAAGGTTGAAGAGGCGCTGTTGAGAAGCAGTGGTCTCCCTTCGACCAACAAAAAGCCGCACGAGGAGATATCCACAAACGAAACGAACAAGCCTGGACGACGATCGAGAGGTGGCCAGACCGATCTTCACACGCCAGCAACATGAGCGAGGCGTTGTGTGGCTCTCAGTGACCGAAATTCGCATAACACCACGCCGGTCCGCACCTTGGCGAGCCGGTCTCACTGTCACAACGTAGGTGCTATCTGGAACACGAGATCGAATGCCAGAGAAATGACTCTCCAATCAAAACACAGCATATGAGCCCGGAGCCGCCAAGCCACACGTTGAAAACGACCGTTGTGAAAAACCGTTACATTCGTCTGGACTGTGTACGACAAAAACAGAGCGAAGGACGAACCAAACAAAGATCCAAGCCCAGGACCCTTAATTACCAAGGTTCGTCTCAGGGGCAACCCAGAAAAACCAGCAATATGATTGTACATGGAAAAGTACACAAAGCAGGGGTTCGAAGTTCGAAGAGAGCAGAAGGAACAGCCAACCACACCCAATAGACAGTCATGTGTTCGTACGTTTTACTTACCCATAAGCATCGTTGTTGTTAAGTGAGTGGTACTGGTACGCCATTGCGAGCTGTTGTTGCTGGTGGAACGCCCAAGGATCAATCGGCTGCCCAACAACTGGTTGCTGCATCAGCACTTGCCTCGCATACTCTTGTTGCTGCAACGCCGCCACAGCAGCAGCCTTGTGAGACTGCTGCTGATGATGATGTCGTTGAATGCTGACAGCACACGGAGTGTTGTCAGGTACAGTCTTCATGTTTTCGTTGTTTTCTTTCCCCTGCCCCGTGGCCATGGTCCTGCGAGGATCATTCGAATTTTTTTTTATGAGACGGAGAGAGAAGAAATTCCGCCTGGTCGCGTTTCGTTTACGGCGCTACTGTGCGACAAAAAGTGACATTTCTTCGGACTGGGACATTTGAAAGGACTGGTTTAAACTTTAATTTTAAGATAAACTGATTACTGTACTCTTTCTTTACAGTAGAAGGTATTAATAGTAAGACAGAGATGCCATCCCTTTGACATAGCATTATAGCATTCCAGAGGCAATAAGATCTAGACTAGTAGGCTAGACTAATCTATTTTTTAAAAAGTACTCTAGTAAAGTATACTGTACCGTACAGAAGTACTAGAAAAACGACATTGGAATCATTAGAATGATCACAGCACTAAATCTGTTTAGTCTAATGGCGAACGGCTGCTCCTGCGGGTAACAAAAAATTTACACACCATACAGGCACATGTTGGAACGTCTCATGGGACCACCGAATAAAACAATTGACAGTAAAGTATTGCTATCTTTTTTTTAAGCTTGGATTGCAATTTGCTAAAGCCATACGGTGGTATTCGTTGTCGACCGACTGGTGTTCGGTGTGGTCAACGCACTCACTCCAGTGCAGTGCGCGGATTCAAAGCTCGTCAAAATGTACGGTACATGTAGTCTATGTTATAATCAAGGTGAAAGTGGTGGCAGTGATGGAAACTCACAATCTAAGCGACATCACAGACACGCGTTTTGCTCCTAAAGAGACATACTTCTTGGTCACTTTGAGCTGGGAGCCTTTCTTTTGGCGCCAGATCGATCTCCAGATAAAAAAGGACAATCATGACGAACTGAGCTACGAACTACCGGTCTGTACCATCATCTATCTTCCGATCGAAAAAGGATCGACAATGGCGCTTTTCTTTGAAAAAAATCTGATTCTTGGTGGTATTATTACGGGTGAAGTTGGTCAGGAGTCAGCAGACGACCGGGAGCGGTTCCCTTATCAAGCTAGACCACGACGGCCAGGCGTCGATTGAAAACAGCGCTCTCGGAATGCCAAAGTCGAAGAACGAATAACTACCCTCCGTTTCTCCTGCAATAAGCGTAAAATGATTTTAAAAAACTTGGAAAGGGAGCGGCCATGTCGCAAGCAAACCAACAACCGTGACGGTTGCGAGGTGAATTAGTGTCTCTGGCTTGTCGTACCGTGTGCCATCCGGGCCTTACTTTCGCTGAAAAGGCGGATGAGTATTAAAAGTGGGCGCTGAGGAACTGGAAGAAAGTTAGTCGAGGGCGCCCAGTCCCCAGTTCGACAAGCGCCAACCGACGAGAAAACAAAAGCTTCCACTGCTACCGGTATGGGAACAGAGCCCATGTCACCGGTACCAGGGATGGTTGTACTGGCTGGTATCCTCGCGGTCATTCTGAAGGGGGAAAGTATCAACTGCTAGGAAAGCTACTGGCCACCGGTAGCTACTAGTAGGTCTGATTGGTGCTATACGATCCTAAGCTACAGAAACATTCCTCAGATGTACGCCGTGGACAATGGTTTTGCCTGAAGTTGTGACGCTGAAGGAGATGCTTAGCCTACCGTGCTAGGACAGTGTCCTCAACCTATCCTATTACTTAGTTACGGGTACATTCCTCTTATATGTACACCGTGGGCAATGGTTTTGGCTGAATTTGTGACGCTGAAGGAGATGATCAGCCTACTAGGACAGTGTCTTCAAAACACCGTGGCTGTTTTCTCACAGCCTTTGCTGGCCACCTTCCAATCGAATACCGGTACGTATGGGTTCTCCGTTTCTTGGATGACACTTGGAGGCGGCTTCAGCTGCAAGCATCAGCAACGAAGCAACGACGTGTTGTTTCGGGTGTCGTACCGAAGAAACATCCGTGGCTCTGAACTCTTTGGCAACGCTTCAAACTAAACCAGTAGCTCAAAATTTCTTATCTACATTTTGTTTGTTTAGAGCGCTTTACCGATCGTTTAAAAGACATCCTTCAGCTCCATAGATTTTCCCGCCTTTGCAGCAGCCTCAAACGCGGCCTTTGAACTAACAACGGCAACGGAGGGATCCTTGATCTGCTTCAGACGTTCGGCAAAAGATCTGAAGTCGCTTGCTTTGGTGTCCAGAATTGCATCTCGTTTCATCTGACGGTATTCAGCGCTTTCATTTACCAACCATCGCTGCAACGCAGTGAAACCCTTCTGATCCGGGCTCAATGCCCCGTCCTTGTCACCGATTGTACCAATGATGGCAGTAGCCAATGCATCAGGATCATTTTCCAGTGCGTCGGCTGCGGCCATGAGGGCATCTGCGGCTCCATCGTAAACATCAATGGTCTTGTCCAGATTGGGATCACGATAGCTCAAAAATGAAAAGAAGCCCGAGAAAGAAGAAAACTGGCAGAAACCACCGTATGCACCTCCCATAACACGCACGTAATCCCACAAATATCCAGTCCTCAAGAAACGAGCAACAACTTCGGCTGATCCTGGAACTGTCTCACCTTCGTCGAACAGCAATCCGGACTTCCCCACATATGAAACCTGGGTCGGAACTACAAAACCTTCGTCCTTGATCGGAACCGTTTCAGCCATGCGCTTCTTGGCTTCAGGAACCCAGGGATGAATCTCTTTCAAGTGATTGTTCATCTGGGGGCCATCCGCGTCTCCTGGTAGCTCCTTCAGGAAGCTCTCGACAGTTGGTTGCACAGTCTCCAATACTTTTGCGTCACCAGTAATGTCCAAGAACATGCCACTGCGAACAGATTCGTTCTCGAGAAGTGTCTTTCGGATGTTTTCCAAACGTGCCAAAAGGGTCGGCCAATCTTCTTCAGCCTGCTTCAGGAGTTCCTTGACCGTATCGAGGTAGGTGATACCGCCGGTAATCTCGTCAATGTATCCAGCAACACGGTAGCGCGCCTTCATTCTGTTGTTGATGGCCGCGTGCCCACTGCTCTGAATCATTGATTCCAGGCGAGAACGAGATTCTCTCAACATCTCAACGACTCTGCTCTGGGAGTCCAATCGAGCTTCGGTCATCATGAGTTTCATGAGCGACAGGAGCTCGCTGGTCTTGTCACTGGTGGCTTTTCCTTGAAAGTATAGCTTTGTGCACATGTGCTCGCCCTTTTCGACGGTTTTGTCGCCTCCTTCAGGATGGACAGCTGTTGTCAGAAGACCGACACTGATGCCGCCCGTGTCTGTACCAATTGTCTGCGACAAGGCAACGGGATCATATTCGCCAGCGCCGGTTTCCTTCAGCATCCTTCCGAAGAGAGGCAGGAGAGGGACATCATCGAGGGGAAGCACAGAAAGGTCAATACCCAAATTCACATACGCAATTCCTGACGTGGAACCGAGTTCATGACGGACAACCGTGACACCGGACCCATTCTCATTTTCAGATACTTCAATAGGGTACTCCGTCTCTTTTCTCTTCAAGTCACTCAGTTCTAGACTGGGAATTGTGGCGCGAGCTTCAGGTGGATCTTCTGAGGCTTGCAGTTCCTTCAACTCAGCAGTCTTGTCAATCACACTTTGGATTTCGTCCTCCGAAAGCGACTTCTTGATTTCGGCCAACCGCTCTTCTTCATCCTTTACCAACTCCTCTTCCAAAGTTTTCGAGGGAGCCATCTCCACAGTGGATCTGTGCATATTATCTGCCAAAAATTCCTTTGCCATGTCTTGGAATACCTTCGATCCGGACTCTGCAATCTTGGCTTTGAGCTCGGCGAGGGGCTCCTCGAACTTCAGAGCTTCCGTGGGAGATTCATCGTACAGCCACTTGCTCATAGATCCCAACATGAAACTGAGCCCTTTGGGGAAAGAGCCAGTATTGAATTCACGCATCTGTATTGTACGGCACGAGGACAGAACAAGTTAGTACGTCCTGCGACCCGACATACGTATCACGACCTCGCCAACAGGTTTGTCACTATTTGACCTCGTACGACGGATACTCACCTGGAACTCGATTGTATTCATCGAGGATGCAATATCCTCATCCGTGAATCCCTCGGCCACAACCTTGTCAATCGTGCTAATGATCAGTTTCTCGACTTCGTCAACCTTTTCGGGTTTGATTCCCTTTAGTCCAACGGAATAGGTGGCTTGCAAGAGTTCATCCATGAGACCTCCACCTGTGACACTCTCCCCCAGGGCACTTTCCATGAGAGTCTTGCGCAGAACGCTTTGAGTTGTTCCCATCAAAAGATGATCCAGAATATTGAGAGTGAGCTCTTCAAAGGCAGACAGAGGTTTGTCGTTGATCAGCCAGTTTACATTGAGCATGTGTGTTTCTGGTTGATCGGCTCCAGCGGGGTAGGGCTCTTGCAGCTTGATGGGAGCATCGTACTTTTTGGATTGCCACTGAATCTGACTCTTGACACGGCTTTCGGGTGTTTCGTCGAATTCATTCAGATATTCATCCATCAGTTCCAGTCTTTTGTAGACATCATCGTCCCCACTAAAGTAAATACGGGCATTGGCAGGGTGGTAAAACTTGGCGTGAAAGTCGGCGAATTGTTCAAAGCTGAGGTCGGGAATAACACGAGGGTCACCACCAGAATCGACACCGTAGGTATTGTCTGGAAAGATACTGCGTTGAGATTCTCTGTTGAGTAAACTGTCTGGACTGCTGTAGACTCCTTTCATTTCGTTGTAAACGACCCCCTTGTATGTAAGTGGTGCATCCTTGTCTTCCAACTCCAAATGCCATCCCTCTTGGGCATGGACCATGGGATCGCTGACAGCACGAGGATGAAATACGGCATCGCTGTAGACATTGATGAGATTGTAAAAGTCCTTTTCGTTTTGACTGGCCACCACATAACAAGTACGATCCGGGTACGTAAAGGCATTCAGAAAGGTTTGGAGCGACCCCTGAAGGAGTTGCACAAATGGGTCCTTGCTGATGACATTGAATGTTGGAAGAAAAAGAAGACAAAAACCAGTGAGTTTCAGTGTTGGATCCTGCCGATACGAGACAATGCCACAAAGAGACCAAAAAACTTACGTTTTATACTTTCGGCTTCCGCAAAGGACCGAGTGTTCCAAAATGTGAGGAACACCGGTGCTGTCCGAGGGCGGTGTGCGAAAGGTGATTCCGAAGACCTTGTTGTCGTCATCGCTGCTGACCGACAAGAGCTGTGCTCCACTCTTTTTGTGTTTGTAGAGGGTGCAGTAGGCTCCGTATTCGGTGACCGTGTCTTTGCTGAGAACGTCGTAAGCGGGGTGGGTGACCTCGAGTGTTTTTTCCAGGTCGGCAGCGACCGCAGAAGATTGTCGCATCGCGGTGATGCTTTCAGCGGTTCGACTCTCTCCACGAAATCGACCCAAAAGACTGGGACTCGATCGAGCTCCCCAAAAGGGCATCCGGGCCGCATGGCTCGAAGCCGCTCTGCTAGCCGCCGCACTGCGAGTGGCAGTTCCCAACGACGCCACGGAAAACGCCGTCACGCCGGCCCGTTTGATCGCCATGGACCAGGCCATCATGATAAAGGCAACCGAAAACAAAAAAGAAGGAGCTCGGCTGCAACAACAACAATATCAACAACAATGTCAAGGTGAGAACCATAAATGATGCTACAATCGTGCAGGCGTCACGATTGAAGATCCAATCCAAAAACAGAATGACAAAATGTCATCTTTTGTACACACCTTGCAGTATTCATCTGAAGCATTCGAGGCTCTAAAATAGAGGCAGGGTAAAAGAAAGAAGATGTTTGACCAGGAACAAACAAGTCAAGATATTGTAAGAAAACCTGTATCCAAGTTTGTTTGAATGAATAGGTGCTGTGTTGCTCTCTGCGATACTAGTAGAGTCAGGCCGAACTCTGCTGATGCTGTCGCTGGATACGATCACCACACTTACTCAGTTGCAAAGATCTACTCGAGTACACAATAGATATGGATTGTATCCTTCACGATTCTTCTTCTTGGTCCTTGACAGCTGGCGACATTATTCCATCATCGTCGAAAGCTGACGATGGCACCAACGCAGTTCTCTGACAAGTGGAATGGGATCTTTCGTTCCTGTTCTTTGTTCTTCTTGACCACAAAGGATAGGGATTGATATGCCTCCTGGCTCGTCTCCGTTTCCATAAATCTTTTATTACCAACACCTAGTATTCGCGCGCTCCGCGCGCTCATCCCTTTCTCTGCTTCGCCCCGATCCTCATTCATGCGAAAAATGTGAAGAACGCAAGGCGACTTTCATGTGCATGTACATGCGTTGACTGTATCCCGTCAATACAATACTAGTCGAATACGTAGACTTCTACAGAGGCCTCTAAGTAATGCGCGCGGGGTATAATTCAAACCTCCACTCCCCATCGGTACCCTTACCCCTAAAAGCAAATCGTCTCCGGGAGACGAAATACTGTGCCGAGCTCACTGCATTCACACGGATCCACGGCATGCAAGCGTTGAGGGTGGCTCCCATGATTTCCACCGTGGTACGTGGTACCTGGGACCGTACTGTACGGTACCTTTACTGTACGATGTATAAAAGACGCACTCAAGCCTGTTCCTCCAGTACTGGTACCGTACCGTTCCGTACCGTACCGTACCGTACCGTACCAGCGGCACAACATGACAAGTCCAAACGAAAAGGTGTTGCTGTTATGGGAGCAATTTTGTGTGTTGATGCCACCCACCAAGAATGGACTCGCCTCAACCTACAAGTCCATGACAAGGACAAGAAGGGGGCAAACATTGAACGCTCAAGCAAATTTGAGGGACATGTATGATACCCCTCGAGAGGTCTAGACTCTACTCTAGAAGTAGTCTGCAACTGGGCACCAGGGAGGCGGTGGTTGCGCTGCGTATGCACAATGCACAACCGCCACGGGCCCAGGAGCCGCGGCACCTCCAGCAACGCACACGAGGAGACCAAGAGGAACGGAGTCACAAAAAGAGCGCACTGGCTAATAGAACGACGAGCAAAAGGGGGCCGCATTGCTTGCAGCTGACTGACAGTTTCATGCACATATATCTATCAGCTATCAGCTACTATTAAGCTAGCTTATTACAGGCAACTGGAACATCTCTGGATCAGGCTTTTGACGAGTTCTCTCGTTCTCTCGTTCTCTCGGTTCCAGCTGCACCTCGCATCATTAGATCTATGGATCCTGGACTCTGGACTCGACGAAGTCTTGTCCTTCACTTACATACTTCTTGTGCCTTGTGGCTTGCGGTATCAGCGTGACTTATCCGCTGGGACGAGAGAAGCCAGAAGCATGCACCCAGCACGTTCATGTTTCACACAGAATCAAGTTTCTGGCAAGGGGACGGTTTGGGGGTTAGAGATCCATAATAACGTCCTCGTGCTCACCTCTGCTTATAATAATATCTCGTCGACATTTGTATAGGTACCAGTGACGAAAGAAGTTATAACACCTTGCTGGTATTGCTGAAGCTACCGGTACACATCATCGTACTGGTCAATGGCCAGGAGTCGCCAACGCCTCTCAAGCTGAATGGCTCCTTGTTCCTTTCCTTGTGAATGAATCAAGAAGCAAGCCAAGCAATCTAGCTAGCTAGTAGCTAGCTAGCTAGACTGAGACTCTACTAGCTAGCTCTGTCTAGCTAGCTAGCTTTAGTACTAGAAGTAGAGCTAGTTGGCGGTAGCCACGTACTGCAACTACCGGTAGCTATCTGGTAGCACAACCGTGCTGTTCATTGTACATTGTACAACCAACCGACAGAAATCAGACGCCCTCCCCTTTCGACAGCCACAGGCCCACGGGATACGTCGCTTGTGGTTCCGCCAAACTTTGGGTATTCGCTGCTTCCTTCCACACCGAGCAGCCTTCAGATTCAGATGGTTTTGTCAACAGCTTTTTATTCTTCAGCTAGACTGTGCATCCAAAGTCCAGGCCAAAAAGCAAGCAAAATAAATGAAATAAGCAGTGGTTTCCTGGCCCGCGAAGAACGAATCCGCTACAAGACAATTCGGTTCACAACCTTCGAATGCAGGATTTCTTCTGGTGACAAAAACGAACTTCAGCCACACTTGGGGCTATACTCTTCTCAGGTACATGTTGTCTGACCACCCAACTGTCTTACCTCAACAGACCGTTCCTTTAGAAAGAGGAACTTCGGAAAGAGGATTCAATGGAACGTCCAAGTCAGTCGTATGAACTTCGATGAAGCTAGTCATCGTTAGGTGTGTTAAAACGTAGGCTACCATTGCGTCATTCGAAAATAATTTCATATTTCCAATGTTAAAAAGCCCCTATTGTAATCAAATTGAACCCATGACGGGTCGGAGCCTTTGGAGGGAAAGGTGAACTGCTTCTACAAGAATGGAATTTTGTGTATCAGAATCGTGCAAGACCCATCACTTAACAATGGTTGAATTGATTCACTTCAAGGAACACATAGGTTAATCCATACAAACTCCATTGACATTTACAATGTGCTGGTTTGAACCAGCTATTGATAATTGGTACTTGACGTTTTCTACGAGTAGATACGCCCGTATAATTGGACAGTTTCCAAACTGAGCTCATGCAGCTGCTGTTACGGAACGGAGGATCTTCAATGAAAGACTTTGCTCCATCACTGCTTAAAGACTTAATGATTTGTCTTGTCCACATCACTGCCTGTAAGTCTATTGCGGCTTCCGTGCCTTGAAAATGATTTGAATCCATGTTCTAACAAGCCAATTGTATCTCCAGTCCAATTGTACAGGATGCGGGACGGTGTGATGTGAGACATCAACAGCCTTTGAATGACCTCAGTACTTGGGTTGAGTTGCTCGGATGGTCAGAATTAGATGGAGGTTCACTTGAAGAACCTTGAGCTTCTGTCTCAGCAGATGCAATGAGATCTGAATAGATATTGGCGAAGTCCATGATGACATTCAAAGGGAAACCAAAAGACTTATTTGGTGCATGTTGATTTTATTCGTATAAAGGTCTTGGGTGTCTGCTTCGACAACGAAGACAAAAGAATGGTTATCCCGCCCTACACTTTGCTGTACATTTCAAAATTGTATGCGGCTTCGCCTCCAAATCGACGGCAGCTTCTCACCGGTTCCATGAGCTTTCCATGATGGCTCAGACGCTCAGACGCAAGGTACCAGGCACCTAGCTAGGTAGCAACCGTACAGGAGCTCTACGCTCTACCGGTATGTAGGTGGTGTCCTGTGTAGCTCCAGCCACACGGTTCTTTCAGCGACTTTGAACCTGAATTGCTACGAGTACCGATTTACGTAGAATGCTACGGGAAGTGCAGGTTCATCAGTGGCTGATTCGTGGTAAACCCATTATGTGCCTACAGCTTAGCGTACACGGGGCCAATCGATCGTTTTTGCTCTTCGGGCAAACCGCAGCATAGGAGCCATCCCCCGCCGAGAGCAGTCGTCAAATCTCTCTTGGTTGCTAAAACTAGTCTTAGAAGAAGGCATCGGATAACAAGTTGAAGAATCTGTTTGAAGGTCAAAGCCCTCAATAATACAGCGGAACCCTCTGACTATTCTCTGAAAGCTCTTGTATAACATAGGCTTGCACTGCTCTATTGCATTCCCTTCCTTCTCTGCATTCGAGCTTCATGTTGCCAGCAACTCGAGCCTGGAATAGTCTCACAATTTCCCGAGCCAGAGAATCAAATCCCAATAGCAACAGCAACCGCAGCAGCAACCGCAGCAGCAACCGCAAGCAACCACAGCAGCCATCAACAGCACAAGCTCGTACAGGAAGCGTCTCATTACGCACCACCAAAAGCACCATTAATACCTCCAACTCGAACGCCGCAGCTTCTCGCGCCTTTGCCCAACAAGCCGCCCGAGCCACATTAGCCACAATGATGAATACCAACGCCGGTGCCAAGAATGCCCCATCCGGTTCGTCCGGTGAACAACCTCTCCACTGCGGTAAGTGGACCCCCGAAGAAGAGGCGTACGTGCAGTGCCTCATTGAAGAGTTCCAAGCGGGCTATTTGCCCATTCGCGAAGGCACCAGTCTCCGCAGTTTCCTCTCCAAGATGCTCAACTGCAAGCCCAAGCGCATCAGTAAGAAATTCGAGGGAAGCGACTACAATGGCAAGCAAGTCTACGTCAGCCAGCCCTACAAATTGACGGCCGAAGAAGCACGAGAACGTCGCGACCGATTGTGCACTCTGGAGCGAAAGTTTCACCAGAGTGTGGCCGAACTCAAGAACGCCGAAGGAGGAGGAGGAGGCAAACCATCCTATGAAGAACCACTCGATGCCGCCGCCGCTGCCATTGGAGGAGCCGCTTCTCTGCCCGGTGGCGCATCCGCATCGGCTCGCAACAACATGGGCGGCATGAACCTCTCCATGAATCCCATGAATATGAACATGAACTCCATGAATATGAATGCCATGAATATGAATTCCATGAATGCTTCTGGCATGGGAGTGGGAGCCATGGGGGGACAAATGAACCAGATGAATTCCATGAATAGAGCACCCTCTCCAAGTGTCCACGAGCCTCTCTTTTCCTCTGCTGCTGCTGGACAAGGAAACGCCTCCTCTTCATCTTCCCAACAGCAGCCTCTCCAGCAGCAACAGTTCCTCGAAGAATTGGCCTTTCAAGACAGCATGCTCCGTTTGCGTCAACAGCAAGCTCAGCAACAGGCAGCACAACAGCAGCAAGCCCAGCAACAGGCGGCTGCTCAGCAGCAAGCACAGCAACAGCAGCAGTCGGGACAAGGACAAGGAAATGGTTCCAATGGTGCTGCTGGATCGGCTGCTGCCGGATCCTACGTCGACCCCATCTTGGGAAGTCTCGCTCTCAGTCAGAATGCTGTCAACACCACTCCTTTAGCTGCTTCCCAGTACTGGAGACGTCAAGCACTCCTAGAGGCATCCACGCACTTGGACTCCCTTCGCATGGCCCAGGCTGGAGCCATTGGCATTCAAAGGCCGACACTCGAACCCGGTGGTCTTCGTGATCTTCGCATGCCGGCTCACCTCGGAGGAGCCATGCCCAACGGTGGACAGTTTGCCGATTCATCCTCCTCGGACAATGCTGCCGCTGCAGCCTCTCTCGATTCCTCTTTCCACAAAAAGCGCCGTGTCTCGGATGCTGCCACGAACATGACCTTGCAGCAGCAAATGGCCATGAACAAGGACAATTCCATGGCTCCCGGACCCGGTGGAAACATTGCGAAGCGCATGAGACGTGACGATGCCTCGTCTTCAGAAGAGCTACAACAACAGATTCAGCACCAACAGCAGCAGCTCGCCAACCTCCAAGGAGGTTTGGGACCAGGAGCACAAGGCTTCAACAACCAATTCCTTCGTTAGTCCCACTAACGAACGACAAAACCACAAAGAATGCATGGCGATGCGATGCGATGACATGCGAGGGGCGATGCAAAGGCGACAAAGACGACGAGGAAGGAAGGAAATCAATCAAGCAAAAAGTATGTGGCAAGTGGTAACAACAGCGGCCATGTCAACCCGCTTTTCCTTTTGTGTGTGTGATGGAGTGCCGTCGAAGAGGGACTGACAGCTCCATTGATGTATAAAGACGAATTCAATTAAAATGAAACATCCATAATAGTATCAATACCAAAAAAAATTCAAAAACAAAACTGCTTTGTGTGCTGCTTGTACTGTATCGGTATCTAGCTAGTATCAACACCAAAAACAATTTGCTCTGTATGCTACTCGTACTGCGGCTACTACATGTACCGGTAGGGATGTCGTGGCTTGGTCTCAAGTCAATACCGAACCCCATTTTTTAAAAAGGTTCAGGAAAACAAAGCTCTGGGACTGGAAGGGCCGGGGCGAGACCAATACCAATCCGGTGCCGTATTGCGACGTGAAATTACCACACCGCATCCTCGGTCACGTTGGTATCCAGAACACCAACAAAGACAGGAAGGAACTAAATCATGCAGCCATCCCTGGTGCGTGTTGGCTGTTTCTAGCTAGTTTTGCTGTGTTGGCTGATCCAAAGTGCATACCGGTAGGATCACTACACCGGTGTACGAGCTCAAAAGTAGGAGCACCTATCCCAGAGGTCGGCCCATAGGCAGCCGTATTGGCTACTCTTGTAATAAGAACCTGATCCTTAGTCCACCTAGCTAGGCCTCACGTCTGGCTCTCTGGGGCGGCTTTTGAGTGGGGCGTTAGCTTCAACGCCATGGTAACCTTTGTTTATATCGCATTCCTTGAATGCTGGATCTCTGAAGCTTTTAATTCGTACGGTGCGGTGCGGTACAGTGCGGTGCGCAGGTACAAAAATCGTCAACGAAAATTCTCTGCAAAATACTAAAAGACTGTCCACTGATAATTCAGAGGGAATATTAAGCAATACAACACTAAAAGTGTTCGGGGGAAGTGTTCAGGAGAAGTGTTCGGGAGCAGTGTTTGAGAGAAGTGAAACCAAATTTGCAGAGGAATGCGATTCTCAGCTTGCCTTTTGATAAAGTCAGGTGGAAGACCTTGGAATTAGCTGGCCTGCATGACATGCGCAGTGGTGGCCTGCCCATGTCATCCGGAGCGTAGTCCTACACTAGTGAACTGCGACAATACCATTGTGGATTGATTAATCTAACGATCTAAGAGATGTAAAGTTTGTATTTCCAAATAAGTGAGCAGTTATTGATTATTTTCTAGAATAGGCCCGCAATTTATAAAGCTGTAAAGCTGAATTGTAAGCTGTATCCCGTCGCACTCCCTAACAGCTGAAATGAAGCTGTAGCAAGAAACAATAGGAGAGAGTCCCCAGCAACGTGCTGAGGTAGATTACCATCCCATGAGGAGCTTCCGAATGACTGCAAACTGTGGAGCTGGCAGACCCTTAGTGAAGATGTCGGCCCGTTGGCTGTTCTAGAGTCGGAATGTACTTGGCCACGATGCCCTTCGACTCCCCGATATTCGACCTAAAGAAGTGGTACTTCAATGCCAAATACTTGTTGCGGGCTGACATCTTGGGAACATTCACAAGAGTGTCTCGAAACTTGGGGTTGTGGTTCAGTCATATCACACTGACAATGGCATCTACAAAAGCCAGAGCAATGTCCAACATCTTAGGGGCACACCATCAATCAATCAGATATCTGCAACACGGTGCCAAAGGCAGAATGGGTTCTGAGGGAGCCATTAGAATTGTAGTAACAACAGCTAGAACAATAGATGATCCATGCTGCACTTCTATGGCGCGGAAGTTGATGATGAATCTCCTTTGGCCTTTGCAGTCATCTCATGCGCTACCTTTACTACCACACTCGAATTCAGTCCACTGGCATTGCTCCCATTGAGTATATTTCCAGAACTGTCAATGATGGTCAAGTCATCAGAAATGCCCATCCATGGGGGTGCCCTGACTATGTTTGGAACCTCGGCTCACCAGTGAGGAGGAAAGATTCCACAATGGCAGCCAAGGTCCAGGAAGGCACAATATGTTGGCACCTCAGCCTGTCCATTCAGAAATTTTGGTTGATCCGCAACATTACAACGGATACCTTTCGCCCCAGTACATCTTGTTTATGATGATTAGGTTTGAAACAGTTTTACTCTTCAGAAGATCAACACACCTCCAGAATGGACCAACATGTGCATCTGTCCAACGCTTCGAAGACCCTTTTGTGAGGACACTCCACCTCCCTTAGCAGACGAGTGGCTTCCTCCAGAGGAACAAGGCCATCAAACACACGATCTCATGTTCTAGAAGCTTCGACAAGTGAGAAAGTTATGCAGGATGACAGAGCAAAACAAACAGGGATGTATCTATCATTTTCCAGCTCCGTCTCCAGCACAGCCCCAGGTTTCACACAGGCGAGATTCCAGACCGTCTGCCATTGCTTCAGACCCAACAATTGCCTTCGTCTTGGACAAGGGAACCTCCCATCGTCAGCACTCCCACCACAGATGTTCCCATCAAGGCAATCCCTGTCGCTGCCCACGTCGGAATCCCAGTAGGACAGCTCACAACAAGAAGCCTGAGATTCTGAACATGGACCCAAAACTGAAGACTTATGCACGCCCTTCATCCCTGCTCAGTTGTGCTTTAGCTATGACCTTTGGAATCACTCCAATTTCAGGGCACATGCTGCAAGCTCAGGTAACTCCTGGATATTCACCCTGGACCGACACCCAGGAATCGTTCATCCTGGCCTTCTTCAAAGCCCACTGGCTCTCAAGGCCAAAACTTCCAGAGACCCTGATCTCCCATCTCTGAAGGAATCTCTGATGGGACCACTTGCAGACCACTTCTGGGCAGCAATGGACAAAGAAATTCCAGCCTTGAAGGCAAAGGGACTTGGCACATCGTAACGTTCTTCAATGCCCTACACCTCAAGGCAGTTCCCGGAACATGGTACACGAATCAAGAGGTTACCAGATGCAATTGAACAAGTTCAAATCTAGATGTGCTGCAGAGGTGACCTTCAGTCCTATGAAGGCACCGCATATTTCCACTTGTCGGTTGGCCCACTGTTAGAGCCGGCCTTCTTCTTGCAGCTGCGCCATGGATGGGAATCGAGACAAGTTGATTTTACTCTTCTTTCTGTCAAGTCCTCAGCCTGCCGATCAGCCATTTGTACATGGAATTGCCCAGTACTATCGACCCAAAGATTATGAAGACAGGACTGTGTTTTGAAACTTGACAATCTATCTATGGGCAGATCGATTCACCCAAATTATTCTATGAGCATCTATGTCGTGGGATGATCCAACTTGTTTCGAAACCTCAGAAGCAGACCCCTGTTTATTTATTCATAAGGAGCATCAACTCATGGTATTAAATTATTGTGATGACCAAATCTGGCTCAGTCCGGACAATGATCTGATTGAGCCTATGTTGGACAGCTCCAGAAGTTGGATATGATCTCACCATGGAAGACAAGGGAGACATCTTTGGATTCCTTGGTATTAATTTTGAAAGACAGGGAGACAATGTGGAATTGACTCAAAGGGGCTCATCAACAAGGTTATTGAATACACTGGCATGTCTGAAGCCAGCTCTAAGTTTCTCCTGCTGCCACCGATCCGCTCGGCGCTGACAAACTGGGTGCCCCATTTGAAGAAGAGTGGAGCTATCCAGCTGCAGTTGGGATGCTGCTTTACATTGATCCAACACTCGCCCAGACATCACCTTTAGTGTACATCAGGTAGCAAGATTCAGCCACAACCCAGGCATTCCATGCTCAAGATCAAACGAATCATTCGGTACTTGATTGGCACAAGTGACAAAGGCATTTGTTTTAGCCCTAAACTTGATCAAGGACTTGATTGTTGGGTGGATGCTGACTTCCGGTTATATGGATATGAGGATGATCAGGATCCTGTTTCGGTCAAGTCTCGCACTGGTTTGTCTTGACTTTGTTTGGATGCCCTGTCATTTGGTCCAGCAAACTGCAGACTGACATTACTCTGAGCTCCACTGCTGCTGAATATGTTGCCTTCAGCATGTCCATGAGGGAGCTGCTTCTATGCGAGCCCTGCTCAAGGAAATTGGTAACAAACTGCATATGCCCGTAATTACTGACAGTCTCGTGCGCTCTACAGTATTTCGAAGACAACCAAGGTTGCCTGTC